AGTATTACTCTTGTGCCTGGCTTATTGGCGATTCCAGTAAGTGGAACTGAGCATGAGAGGCAGACAGTGACCACAACTACTTAGGCGTTGTTAGGAAATTCTAGAAGTTCAATCTAATCTTCTTCCTAAACAAGTTTCTGTTCGAATACCGACCGAGCGCTGCACGCTTTTAAGTAAACTGTTACCCCTAACTTCTGACTGGCTTTCATCCTTTGCTTAGAGGAGTTCCCTTCGCACTAGTTGCAGTGACTAATCCAAAACAGCCCTTAGTTTTCTCCTTTTTGGGCGATATAAAACACTTTTTAAGTCACGGGAATGAAACTACATCTTCCTTCTCGATTTTCATCTTTAAATAATTCCTAAACCCCTCATCAACCGCTTCTCACCACTGAGCTGAATTCGACCTAACTTCGTTTAAAGCAAGAATGATCTTCACACGATCTGAGTAGATCAGCGTTCATGTGATCTCATGAATCGAGGAAAAAGAAAGATAAGCAGCATTAAATGACCTCGATGTGGAGCACCACCGACGAATCATAGACAAGCCGCTTAAAATATAATTTGGATTGACTGTGCGATTTACTCCTGGTCGGCAGACGGCAGACACAGTCTGCTCCGAAGACAGCCATTTGGTAAAATTGCACTGGAGGTGTCCGGAAGGAAGGAAACCGTGTAAGGTTACGGTCTGATGCGAGACAAAGACGATGCAGCAGGCAAAGCGGGCCGCGGAATGCGGATGTTAAAGCAGGCAGCCAATCAGCGTTTGCTGCTGTATTGAGCGCGCGTGACGCCTTTGTCCATGCGTGCACTCGCTCGAAAATTCGAGAATCCGCCCCCCGCCCCTCCCGGAAAGGATTCTCGCGCAAGAAACGGCCAATTAGTGCACAACACACTATGGGTCGGAATGGGGCAAAACATTCAACGCCTCAAATGAATAAGACGAATTTTTGCATAAGATAAAACACCCTCACATTCACAAGGTGAGAATGCATTGTTTGATTTCGGGACCTGATTTCTTTCTCCACTCCTCAGGCTTTAAAAGCGTTGTTCGGCGTTGTTCTATTTAAAAACAACAGATTTTTCCAACTCATGGTTATCCTGCAAAATTTTCGGGTTTATATAAAACGGCCGAATGCTCTTGTAAGAAAATTGCTAAACCTGCATTGCTGTCCATCTAACCAGAAGAGCTAGCACTATTTTGAGCTCAAAATACATGATCTAGCGTTTAATTTAAAAACAAACTATGAATAAAATTCTTGTATCGTTTCAACAACCGAAGACGAACATAGTTTGTAAAGTAGTTTGATAATCAGCATGATGTACGTTTACTTTAAATACTATTCCCTGGACTATGTACAGTAGACTCTCGGGTGACAAGCAGCTCCCTCTACGAGCATTTTAGCTTACGAACGAGCCACTAACAGAAAATATGCTTCCATTGACGAGCTTCCGCTCAGTTAACGAGTTGTCGGTGTGCGTATGTTTGTGTCCACGGAAGAAACTGGCGCAGCAATCTACCTAGCCAGTCGGATTGCCGCTGCCAAGGCAAAACGGACGCCTCGCAAGTCTCACAATCAACGGACGCACACTTACACCGCCCAATCCTTTCTAACCTGTCCGCGCTGTCAACGCACCTTCTGTGCACGCATTGGCTTGGCCG